CTTTCGGTAACATACTACCAAATAGACGGATGTCAAGTGTAGTAACTACCGCAAAAAAGGTCCCGAACACCACCATCAAGATGAATAGCACAGACACCGAAATGGAGAAAAAAGACGTGACGATCAGAGTTTGATCTGGCGAGATTCAAAGATGTCAGATCACTTTATTCTGAACCTGGATAGAGTATCACGAGACTGAGATGCATTACAAATTGAAAGGTAGCTGATGAATGTGAGCTTATAAGCAACAGAGGAAAGGAAGGCAGCAAATGGTGGATGCTGGTAAATAGATACTTCAGTAATAAACGCGAATCTCGATACTCTGTGTACCAGAGGCAATAAATTGGAGTACACATCGTGGGGAGATAGCTGTACCAGCATAAGCTTAAGTACGACTATTGAGGAGATCCACGCAGCTTGTGCAGCTTGAGGGCATTGATCAATGTTCACTGAAAGATCATGATGAAGACAGCGAATACAATGAGAAACGCTTTGGTCTTGTGGATATTTACGGATGCCAAAGGGTAAGAGGCTTTGTCGAGGAAGCTTGAGAGCACGAGGGAAGTCTGCACAGGAAGTACAAACGACTTGAATAGGAGAGAAGGTAGATTCAGAAGTGTTGATTCATCGGAGTTTATTACTGCTTGCACTTCCTGATGTATAAGGCTGTCCACATATATACATGTAGGTCTTTCAATCGAGCAGCTCGTCTGATGAAGTCTGATGGCTCGACTGGTCAAAATCGATGCCGCAAATACTACGCTTCTGAAGTTCAGACTCAAGAGCGACCATCCAGACCACCACAAGAAGCCTCTCACGTAATCCCAACGAAGTTGGTGCGGCATCGCCGTATCTAGAAACATCGCCGGCTTTCGCCCACCCACTGGCACAATGAGGGTGCATCGAATGTACCAGTGCTTCATTCCCAAGGTAGCCTGAGTGGAGTGGACGCCTTCTTCAAGAAGATTTTACGGCGAATGGGCATGGAAGGCAGGAAGGATGGCGCAATTCCCTTCTGGAGACGCTGAATGAATAATGAGAAAGATCGAAGATCAAAAGCAGATCTAACCTGCTCTACGCAGCTAAGAGGATGTCCACCTTCGATACATTGGCATCCAATCGTACTGCTCGTCGAAATGTTCGATTTGTCCGATCATCTAAGGCGTAGTTACTTAAAAGGTTGCCGTCAACTTGTAGTTCGGAATTGAGCGATGAGCTCGACTACCCGCACGGTCAAACCAGGTAGCTCTATATATCATGACGAATCTTCGGTACTACCAAATGGGGACGGATGTCAAGTGTAGTAACACCGCAAAAGGTCCTGGACACCACCGCCAAGATGACCAGCACAGACAATGAAATGGAGAAAGACGACGATCAGTTTGATCGGCGAGATTCGTAGATGCCAGATCACTTTATTCTGAACCTGGATGAGTATCAAGAGACTGTGGACGCATTACATTGAAAGGTGCTGAGAATCAGACCCATAAGCAAACAGAGGAAGAAGGCAGCAATGGTGGATGCCAGTAAATAGATACCTAGTAATAAACGCGGACCCGATACCTCGAAAGTACAGCGGTAAATTGGAGCACACATCGTGGGGAGATAGCTGTACCAGCATAAGCTTAAGTACGATTAGTTGAGGAGATCCACGTGCAGCTTGTGCAGCTTGAGGGCATTGATCAACGTGTTCACTAAAAGATCACATGAAGACAGCGAATACAATGAGAAACGCTTTGTCTTGTGGACATTGATGGATGTCAAAGGGTAAGAGGCTTTATCGAGGAAGCTTGGAAGAGCACGAAGGAAGTCTGCACAGGGAAAGTGAAACGCATTACATGAATAGCAGAAGGTAGATTGCAAAGGTGTTGATTTATCGGAGTTTATTCTTAGGCTTGCACTCTGATGTATAAGCCACCATGCGTGTAACGGCGTAGGTCTTTCAATCGAGCAGCTCGTCTGATGGAATTCTGGATGTAAAATTATCGTAAAACCACGCCGTAAATACTACGCTTGAAGTTCGGACTCAAAGAGTGACCATCCAGACCACAAGTGAAGGCCTCTCACGTAACTTCTCAACGAAGCTGGTGCGGCACGTTGCACTAGAGTCACCGCCGGTTTTCGCCCACCCACTGGCACAATTGAGGGTGCATCGAATGTACCAGTGCTTCATTCTCAAGTGTAGCCTGAGTAGCGTGGACGCCCTTCAAGAAGATTTACTGGGTGACTGGCAGGAAGCAGGCGATGGAGCAATCCCCTGGGACGCTGAATGAATAATGAGAAAGATCGAAGATAAAAGCAGATCCAACTCCTGCCTACGCAGCCAAGATGTCCACCTGATCATTGGTGCACCTCCAATCGCACTGATCGTCGAAATGATTCGATTTGTCCGATCATCTCAGGCGTAGTTACCTTGAAAAGGTTGCCGTCAACTTGCAGTTCGGATTGAGCGAGCCCGACTACCCGCACGGTTCAAACCAGGTAGCTCTATATATCATGCGACAGATCTTCATTACTACCAAATGGATGGATGTCAAGTGTAGTAACACTGCAAAAAGGTCCTGACACCACCGCCAAGATGAATAGCACAGACACCGAAATGGAGAAAGACGTGACGATCAGTTTGATCTGCGAGATTCGAAGATGTCAGATCACTTTATTCTGAATTTGGATGAGTATCACGAGACTGTGGACGCATTAAATTGAAAGGTATTGATGAATGACCTTATGGAGCAACAGAGAGGAAGAAGGCAGCAATGGTGGATGCTGGTAAATAGATACTTCAGTAATAAACGCGAATCTCGATACTTTGTGTACAGCGGTAAATTGGAGTACACATCGTAGAGATAGCTGTACCAGCATAAGCTTAAGTACGAATATTGAGGAGATCCACGCAGCTGCAGCTTGAGGGCATTGATCAATGTTTACCGAAAGATTATGATGAAGACAGCGAATACAATGAGAAACGCTTTGTCTTGTGGACATTGATGGATGTCAAAGGGTAAGAGGCTTTGTCGAGGAAGCTTGAGAGCACGAAGGAAGTCTGCACAGGAAGTGCAAACGACTTGAATAGGAGAAGGTAGATTCGAAGGTGTTGATTCATCGGAGTTTATTCTGCTTGCACCCTGATGTATAAGCTGTCCACAAATCGAATCATGCAAATCTTTCAATCGAGCTGCTCGGCCCTGATGAAGTCCGATGTCATTATCGTAAAATCGATGCTGTAAATACTACGCTTGCAGTTCGGATTCAAAGAGTGACCATCCAGACCACAAGAAGCGCTCACGTACGCTCCAACGAAGTTGTGTGTCACGTTGTGACCAGAAACATCGCCGGCTTTCGCTCACCCACTGGCACATCGAGGGTGCACCGAATGTACCAGTGCTTCATTCCTAAGGTAGCCTGAGTGGCGTGGACGCCCTTCAAGAAGTTTATTTAACTGGCAGGAAGCAGGAAGGATGGCGCAATCCCTTGGGACGTTGAATGAATAATGAGAAAGATCGAAGATAAAAAGCAGATCCAACTCTGCCTACGCAGCTAAGATGTCCACCTCCGATCATTGGTGCATCCAATCGCATGCTCGTCGAAATGTTCATTTGTCCCGATCATCTCAGGCGTAGCTACCTTGAAAAGGTTGCCGTCAACTTGCAGTTCGGATTGAGCGAGCTCGACTACCCGCACGGTTTCGAACCAGGTAGCTCTATATGTCATGCGACAGATCTTCGATACTACAAATGGATGGATGTCAAGTGTAGTAACACTGCAAAAAGGGTCCTGGACACCACCGCCAGCAAGATGAATAGCACAGACACCGAAATGGAGAAAGACGTGACGATCAGTTTGATCTGCGAGATTCAAAGATGTCAGATCACTTTATTCTGAACCTGGATGAGTATCACGAGACTGTAGACGCATTAAATTGAAAGGTGTTGATGAAGTGACCCTATGGAGCAACAGAGGAAGAAGGCAGAATGGTGGATGCTGGTAAATAGATACTTCAGTAATAAACATCTCGATACTCTGGCATGTACAGCGGTAAATTGGAGTACACATCGTGGAGATAGCTGTACCAGCATAAGCTTAAGTACGACTATTGAGGAGATCCACAGCCCTTGTGCAGCTTGAGGGCATTGACTCAATGTTCACTGAAAGATTATGATGAAGACAGCGAATACAATGAGAAACGCTTGTCTTGTGGACATTGATGGATGTCAAAGGGTAAGAGGCTTTGTCGAGGAAGCTTGAGAGCACGAAGGAAGTCTGCACAGGAAGTTCAAACGACTTTGAATAGGAGAGAAGGGTAGATTCAAAGTGTTGGATTCATCGGATTTAGTTCTGCTTGCACCCTGATGTATAGGCTGTCCACAAATCGAATCCTCATGTAAGTCTTTCAATCGAGCTGCTCGTCTGATGAAGTCTGATGTCATTATCGTAAAACTGATGCCGTAAATACTACGCTTGAGTTCGGATTCAAAGAGTGACCATCCAGACCACAAGAAGCCTCACGTAATCTCAACGAAGGGTGTGTCACGTTGTGACCAGAAACATCGCCGGCTGCTCAACCCACGGGCACATGAGGGTGCATCGAATGTACCAGTGCTTCATTCCTCAAGGTAGCCTGAGTGGCGTGACCTTCAAGAAGTTTTACGCATATGACTGGCAGGAAGCAGGAAGGAGTGGCGCAATCCCCTGGGACGTTGAATGAATAATGAGAAAGATCCGAAGATAAAAGCAGATCCAACTCTGCCTACGAGATAAGATGTCCACCTCCGACTGGCATCCAATCGCACTGCTCGTCGAAATGTTCGATTGTCCGGATCATCTCAGGCGAAGTTACCTTGAAAAAGGTTGCCGTCAACTTGCAGTTCACTGAGCGAGCTCGACTACTCCGCACGTTTCAAACCAGGTAGCCTATATATCATGACAGATCTTCATTACTACCAAATGGATGGATGTCAAGTGTAGTAACACTGCAAAAGGTCCTGGACACCACCGCCAAGATGAATAGCACAGACACCAATGGAGAAAGACGTGACGATCAGTTTGATCTGCGAGATTCGAAGATGTCAGATCACTTTATTCTGAACCTGGATGAGTATCACGAGACTGTGGAGACGCATTAAATTGAAAGGTGTTGATGAGTGACCTTATGGAGCAACAGAGGAAGAAGGCAGCAATGGTGGATGCTGGTAAATAGATACTTCAGTAATAAACGTGAATCCTCGATACTCTGTGTACAGCGGTAAATTGGAGTACACATCGTGGGGAGCTAGCTGTACCAGCATAAGCTTAAGTACGACTATTGAGGAGATCCACGCAGCTTGTGCAGCTTGAGGCATTGATCAATGTTCACTGAAAGATCACGATGAAGACAGAAAATAAAATGAAAAACTTTTTGTGTTGTGAAATTGATGGATGTCAAAGGGTAAGAGGCTTTGTCGAGGAAGCTTGGAGAGCACGAAGGAAGTCTGCACAGGAAGTGCAAACGACTTGAATAGGAGAAGGTAGATTCAAAGGTGTTGATTCATCGGAGTTTATTCTGCTTGCACCCTGATGTATAAGCTGTCCACATATATATCATGTAGGTCTTTCAATCGAGCTGCTTGTCTGATGAAGTCTGATGTCATTATCGTAAAAACGATGCCGTAAATACTACGCTTGAAGTTCGGATTCAAAGAGTGACCATCCAGACCACAAGAAGCCGCTCACGTAATCTCAACGAAGTTGGTGTGGCACGTTGTGACCAGAAACATCGCCGGCTTTCGCTCACCCACTGGCACATGAGGGTGCATCGAATGTACCAGTGCTTCATTCCCAAGGTAGCCTGAGTGGCGTGGACGCCCTTCAAGAAGTTTTACGGCGACTGGCAGGAAGCAGGAAGGATGGCGCAATCCCCTTGAGACGTTGAATGAATAATGAGAAAGATCGAAGATAAAAAGCAGATCCAACTCTGCCTACGCAGCTAAGATGTCCACCTCCGATCATTGGTGCATCCAATCGCACTGCTCGTCGAAATGTTCGATTTGTCCGATCATCTCAGGCGTAGTTACCTTAAAAAAGGTTGCCGTCAACTTGCAGTTCGGATTGAGCGATCTCGACTACCCGCACGGTTCGAACCAGGTAGCTCTATATATCATGCGACAGATCTTCGGTACTACCAAATGGATGGATGTCAAGTGTAGTAACACTGCAAAAAGGTCCTGGACACCACCGCCAAGATGAATAGCACAGACACCGAAATGGAGAAAGACGTGACGATCAGTTTGATCTGCGAGATTCGAAGATGTCAGATCACTTTATTCTGAACCTGGATGAGTATCACGAGACTGTGGACGCATTACATTGAAAGGTGTTGATGAATGACCTTATGGAGCAACAGAGGAAGAAGGCAGCAATGGTGGATGCTGGTAAATAGATACTTCAGTAATAAACGCGAATCTCGATACTCTGTGTACAGCGGTAAATTGGAGTACACATCGTGGGGAGATAGCTGTACCAGCATAAGCTTAAGTACGACTATTGAGGAGATCCACGCAGCTTGTGCAGCTTGAGGGCATTGATCAATGTTCACTGAAAGATTATGATGAAGACAGCGAACACAATGAGAAACGCTTTGTCTTGTGGACATTGATGGATGTCAAAGGGTAAGAGGCTTTGTCGAGGAAGCTTGAAGAGCACGAAGGAAGTCTGCACAGGAAGTGCAAACAACTTAAATAGGAGAAGGTAGATTCAAAGGTGTTGATTCATCGGAGTTTATTCTGCTTGCACCCTGATGTATGAACTGTCCACATATATATCATGTAGGTCTTTCAATCGAGCTGCTCGTCTGATGAAGTCTGATGTCATTATCGTAAAAACGATGCCGTAAATACTACGCTTGAAGTTCGGATTCAAAGAGTGACCATCCAGACCACAAGAAGACGCTCACGTAATCTCAACGAAGTTGGTGTGGCACGTTGTGACCAGAAACATTGCCGGCTTTCGCCCACCCACTGGCACATGAGGGTGCATCGAATGTACCAGTGCTTCATTCCCAAGGTAGCCTGAGTGGCGTGGACGCCCTTCAAGAAGTTTTACGGCGACTGGCAGGAAGCAGGAAGGATGGCGCAATCCCCTTGAGACTTTGAATGAATAATGAGAAAGATCGAAGATAAAAAGCAGATCTAACTCTGCCTACGCAGCTAAGATGTCCACCTCCGATCATTGGTGCATCCAATCGCACTGCTCGTCGAAATGTTCGATTTGTCCGATCATCTCAGGCGTAGTTACCTTGAAAAGGTTGCCGTCAACTTGCAGTTCGGATTGAGCGAGCTCGACTACCCGCACGGTTCAAACCAGGTAGCTCTATATCATGCGACAGATCTTCGGTACTACCAAATGGATGGATGTCAAGTGTAGTAACACTGCAAAAGGTCCTGGACACCACCGCCAAGATGAATAGCACAGACACCGAAATGGAGAAAGACGTGACGATCAGTTTGATCTGCGAGATTCGAAGATGTCAGATCACTTTATTCTGAACCTGGATGAGTATCACGAGACTGTGGACGCATTACATTGAAAGGTGTTGATGAATGACCTTATGGAGCAACAGAGGAAGAAGGCAGCAATGGTGGATGCTGGTAAATAGATACTTCAGTAATAAACGCGAATCTCGATACTCTGTGTACAGCGGTAAATTGGAGTACACATCGTGGGGAGATAGCTGTACCAGCATAAGCTTAAGTACGACTATTGAGGAGATCCACGCAGCTTGTGCAGCTTGAGGGCATTGATCAATGTTCACTGAAAGATCATGATGAAGACAGCGAATACAATGAGAAACGCTTTGTCTTGTGGACATTGATGGATGTCAAAGGGTAAGAGGCTTTGTCGAGGAAGCTTGAAGAGCACGAAGGAAGTCTGCACAGGAAGTGCAAACGACTTGAATAGGAGAAGGTAGATTCAAAGGTGTTGATTCATCGGAGTTTATTCTGCTTGCACCCTGATGTCAGGAGTTTATTCTGCTTGCACCCTGATGTATAGGCTGTCCACAAATATATCATGTAGGTCTTTCAATCGAGCTGCTTGTCTGATGAATTCTGATGTCATTATCGTAAAATCGATGCTGTAAATACTACGCTTGAAGTTCGGATTCAAGAGTGACCATCCAGACCACAAGAAGCCGCTCACGTAATCTCAACGAAGTTGGTGTGTCACGTTGTGACCAGAAACATCGCCGGCTTTCGCTCACCCACTGGCACATGAGGGTGCATCGAATGTACCAGTGCTTCATTCCCAAGGTAGCCTGAGTGGCGTGGACGCCCTTCAAGAAGTTTTACGGCGACTGGCAGGAAGCAGGAAGGATGGCGCAATCCCCTTGAGACGTTGAATGAATAATGAGAAAGATCGAAGATAAAAAGCAGATCCAACTCTGCCTACGCAGCTAAGATGTCCACCTCCGATCATTGGTGCATCCAATCGCACTGCTCGTCGAAATGTTCGATTTGTCCGATCATCTCAGGCGTAGTTACCTTGAAAAGGTTGCCGTCAACTTGCAGTTCGGATTGAGCGAGCTCGACCTACCCGCACGTTTCAAACCAGGTAGCTCTATATATCATGCGACAGATCTTCATTACTACCAAATGGATGGATGTCAAGTGTAGTAACACTGCAAAAGGTCCTGGACACCACCGCCAAGATGAATAGCACAGACACCGAAATGGAGAAAGACGTGACGATCAGTTTGATCTGCGAGATTCGAAGATGTCAGATCACTTTATTCTGAACCTGGATGAGTATCACGAGACTGTAGACGCATTACATTGAAAGGTGTTGATGAATGACCTTATGGAGCAACAGAGGAAGAAGGCAGCAATGGTGGATGCTGGTAAATAGATACTTCAGTAATAAACGCGAATCTCGATACTCTGTGTACAGCGGTAAATTGGAGTACACATCGTGGGGAGATAGCTGTACCAGCATAAGCTTAAGTACGACTATTGAGGAGATCCACGCAGCTTGTGCAGCTTGAGGGCATTGATCAATGTTTACTGAAAGATCATGATGAAGACAGCGAATACAATGAGAAACGCTTTGTCTTGTGGACATTGATGGATGTCAAAGGGTAAGAGGCTTTGTCGAGGAAGCTTGGAGAGCACGAAGGAAGTCTGCACAGGAAGTGCAAACGACTTGAATAGGAGAAGGTAGATTCAAAGGTGTTGATTCATCGGAGTTTATTCTGCTTGCACCCTGATGTATAGGCTGTCCACAAATCGAATCATGTAGGTCTTTCAATCGAGCTGCTCGTCTGATGAAGTCTGATGTCATTATCGTAAAATCGATGCCGTAGATACTACGCTTGAAGTTCGGATTCAAAGAGTGACCATCCAGACCACAAGAAGCCGCTCACGTAATCTCAACGAAGTTGGTGTGTCACGTTGTGACCAGAAACATCGCCGGCTTTCGCTCACCCACTGGCACATGAGGGTGCATCGAATGTACCAGTGCTTCATTCCCAAGGTAGCCTGGAGTGGCGTGGACGCCTTTCAAGAAGTTTTACGGCGACTGGCAGGAAGCAGGAAGGATGGCGCAATCCCCTTGGGACGTTGAATGAATAATGAGAAAGATCGAAGATAAAAAGCAGATCCAACTCTGCCTACGCAGCTAAGATGTCCACCTCCGATCATTGGTGCATCCAATCGCACTGCTCGTCGAAATGTTCGATTTGTCCGATCATCTCAGGCGTAGTTACCTTGAAAAGGTTGCCTTCAACTTGCAGTTCGGATTGAGCGAGCTCGACTACCCGCACGTTTCAAACCAGGTAGCTCTCTATATCATGCGACAGATCTTCAGTACTACCAAATGGACGGATGTCAAGTGTAGTAACACTGCAAAAAAGGTCCTGGACACCACCGCCAAGATGAATAGCACAGACACCGAAATGGAGAAAGACGTGACGATCAGTTTGCCATCTGCGAGATTCGAAGATGTCAGATCACTTTATTCTGAACCTGGATGAGTATCACGAGACTGTAGACGCATTAAATTGAAAGGTGTTGATGAATGACCTTATGGAGCAACAGAGGAAGAAGGCAGCAATGGTGGATGCTGGTAAATAGATACTTCAGTAATAAACGCGAAT